GGCTGAAAGCAGGGCCCGCTTGTGGCCTGGTGGCTGTTGATGTGCAGGACACCGCTCCGGTTCGTCAGGTGGAAACCGCGTTGCAGGATTATTCCTGACGGACGCAAGCTGGGCTTGTGTTTGACGTGGCAGGCAAGGCGTCTTACCGTTGCTTTTGCGCCTTTGATGGACAAGTCGTCCGTGTTGTCGAAGACGTACTGCTCGCCCCCTTTGTGCCGTATCTTGCTTGGCTGGGCGGCAGTATCGCCTGGCAGCTTCTGCGCGGTTGCGAGAGCGTCAAGGAGAATATTAGTGTTGAGTCGTTGTCTGTGTGCCTCGTAGACGGGGCTGGACGACAAGTACTGCGCGGCAGTATGGAGGGTAGCCCTCCGTCGGCACGGGGCCCAACCTGCGCAGGTTGCTCGTGGTCAATCTGATCGCTGATGCTCGGACAGTGACGCTTGCGTGACATTTGTGAATCCAAGCAACCGCGTCGGCGTAGCATACCAGCACGCCGTCTCAAACGACGGCGTTACGTAGATGCCCGCCCGCCAGAATTCATGCTGTCCTGCTACCTGCGTAAGTCGGGCTGCAACACTTCTTCGGTGTCGGTGTGGTGATTCCAGGTGCAGCAAATTAAGTCGCCCGCGCTCGATGGCTTCAGGCCACTACGCAGGATGCCCGTGATGCAGTGAGGAGGGCATCCGTGGTAGTACGTCGGCACACCTGTCGTTAGTGTGACGCTTTTGCTTTTCGGGAAGTGAGTCTGCGGGAACATGGCTGTGTTATACTGCCTGGTTGGAGTCGCTCGTAGCACAGGTAGTGCTGTTCCTGCGTTTCGTGGCGTTCCCAAATGTGGGCCTGACTGCAGGAAACACACACAACTGGTTCTCGTGTCGTTTAACATGGTCTAAATGGGAACCCGACGCGCGGCTCCGGGAGGTCCGTCAGGAAGGCATCAAAGAAATCGGGATAGTCGAGGTTCCACGGCACGGCTCCCACCTGTGTAGCGCCATACCGCAGCACCGAGTGTGCAAGAGAAACGGCATGCACTGGCTATGGCCTCCCATCGACCGGGCTTCTCAGCGCTCCAGCGCCAGCACCGATGGCTTGACATCGTAGTCATGCTGGCGGTGAGTTACTTCAAAGAGAGGGCGCCCACTGCGTGCAGGAAGAAGGTTTACAGCCGGAGCTTGCAACGACCCTGCCTCGGCGCAGGTGCTCCGGAAAAGAAAGAGAGTGCTGGATAGTGTCTGCTTTCTTCTTGAGCCCACGGCTCCGGAGGCGCATGACGTTTGGAGTGTCTGTATATGCATGTTGGTGCTTCCGACATGATGGCCTCACAGTCGGCTCCTCTCTGCGATGCACTGGCCTTTTTTTTTTCCGTGGTGTCGTAGAGGCTCCGCGCAACGCCTGCAGCGGGCCGGCCTCGGCGACGGTGGGGACACACGGCGTGATTTTGATCTGAACATCCTGTGGATATAACCTGATCTGGTTGCACTGTGGATGCGTTCAGCTGAGATCGGAACTCTTTACTACATGTACTTGTAGTCGGGCCAAAAATCCTGGGCTCGCACACTTCGCTCGGTGGCTGTGTTTCGGCTTTTGCGGTTCTGCACTGGCATGTCTCGGGTTCGAGCGTTGAAGTCCAAGCCCCCCTCGGGTGTCCATCGACACCACCCGAGGGTTGCCGCCCCCCAGTCGCAGGTTTCCTCCTGCGGTCGAGGCTGTCTGGGAAACTCTAGCAGCTGCGTGTGTGTCTGTGTGTATGTGTGTGTGTGTGCGTTTGCGTGTGTGTGTGTGTGTGTGTGTGTGTGTGTGGGCGGTTTTGTGTGCGGCTGAGCAGCAGCAGTGTAAAGGTACCAGCGACCGCTGGTATGCCACCACCACTGATTGTCGCACCTTTGGTAGCAGGGGAGAAGCATGGACGTGGATGTGATGTTGTGCGTCGTCTAGGTTTCGGTCCTGGCTTTGAACGGCGTGCCGTCGAACTCTGCTTCCACGTCGAGGCGGTTGCCCATCTGCAGACAAAGTGGGTGCTGATGATATTCAAGGTTTACAGCCGGAGTTTGCAACGACCCTGCCTTGGCGCAGGTGCTTCGGAAGAGAAGGAGGGTGCTGGACAGTGTCTGCTTTCTTTTTGAGCCCACGGCTCCGGAGGCGTATGACGTTTGGAGTGTCTGTGCTTGTCAAGTCGAGCAGTGGAGCGGCGTCTGAGTGAGTGCTGCAGCAGCCTGCATTGTTTTTTTGTCGGTGTGCTGGACCGATGCGTTTGCTGTTCGGTGAGACTTCTTGTCGGCTTGGCCCGCATGGGCTCTGCCTTATGTTGCATGCTAGATGAGTGTTAGTGCGAAGGTTCTGCCTTGGCTTCGTAAGAAGAGTCGATGTAAGTATGGCACAGACACACACACACACACATACACGACACGAGTGCACTGTAAGGGTGGACATGCTGTTTGCAGCGAAGTTGCGGCCACAGCATAACCTTGGAGGGCATTTCTTGTGTGGCAGTCGTTGCCCAGTCACTGGCGTCGACGCTGGCTGTACCTTGGCTTCGGCAGGGAGAACTGATGCGAGCTTAGCACAAGTTCAGCATGCGCCAGCATTCGACCTGGACATGTTTGCTTGCATCTGAGTCGCGACCAGAGCTATACCTTGGCGAGCACATGTTGAGAGAGCGAACATGTTGTTCATGGGGAGTGTGAAGATCCTTGAAGGCCCCCCCCGGATGGATGATTCATGGTGAATCCGGGATAGCCTTGTTTTAGGATGCCTTGTCAGAGAGTGTCCCTCGGTACACGCTCCTACTTCCGTAGCCCGTGCCGGATTGGAGTGGCAGAGAGGCTTCACCTGTGCTGGGTTCGCCGACTTCGGAGGAGTCGACAGCCCGGTAGTAACGTGCACTCGCGTACACGCGTTCCCTTTAACAGGTTGGACGGAAGATCCCGGCCCGTGGCACTGAGGAACGAATCCAGTAGGAACGAATCCTCGCGCAAAGCGCGTCCGTGGCACGCACCCCGAAAGTGTGGCCGCAGCCTTTCGAAAGTGCTCGGGAAGACATCCTCGGCCCTTTTTAGGTATGTGGAGGCCGGTTCGGAAGAATGGTTCGCCGCAGCCATGCTACGGTTGGGCCACACTCCCTTCCACAAGGATGCTCACCATCGCCATTTTCGGGGGCAAGTGCGAACCCAAAAAGCGCACTGTGTGTATCCGAGCCGCCCGGATTGTCACGCCCTGCCTTCCAAAAAATTGTCGCGGAATGACAATTTGGATTGTCATTTCGTGACAATCCTGGGCCTGTTCCTTCCCCAGATTGTCGTGGCGTGACAATCTGGGGGGCGGGGGAGGGGCGAGGGGGGGCGGGATTGTCACGGCATGACAATTTAAATTCCTGCAACCCCAAAAGCGTTGTAAATTTTTGGCCTTTTGGGAAAGGTGCGTAAATTTCAGATTCCGGGCGAAAGGTGCGTATTTAGCGTAATTCTGCTGGAAGCTTGTCAAACGTGCTGTATCGCATCGGCCTGATGCCCCAGCTGCTTAGAAAGGTATGTTCTGTATGCATAATTACTTACTTTTCTCACCGAAAGAGTACCATATCATGCTAGTCTTCATCAGCTTAGAGATCGTGGTTGTCGCCAATTCAAACATGATACAGTGTATATCTAGCTCGGAGTTCATGGCGCCCGGGTGGTGAGCCCTTGGAACGTGCTACCGGCCGGTTTGTGTTGCAATACAGTAGGTGGAAATAAAGTCCTGGGAAATGCGATTGTATGGCAGGGTGGGGAAGTGGTGCACGAGCTGCCGAGTGGTTTTTGAGTCGCGACAGGTGACCTTGGCGACACTTACAGTTGTCATGTATACTGTGTATATCAGTCGGGGATGCCGTATATTTCAGGTCCTCTGCTGCGGAAGCTGAACACCCAGTTGTGGAACCTTCACCACGTATGTGCGCCGCCTAGATTTGGAATTGCACAAGGGGGAAGTTGGGGGGAAAAGATGCCCTTTGCAGGCCACAGACGATCGAGGATATGGAGCCAGGCTATTCCGGGATAGTGTTCAGCATTCAGTTTGTCGGGTGTCATGTGTCAGGTCACAGATTGCTTGCAGAAGCTGAGAGTGATGAGTGAGCCCTCGGAATGTGCACCCGGCTAAATTCCCTTTGATATGTGGCTTCCCGACAATAGTGGGGTTAGCCTTTCCTATGCCAGGCCGAACCCTCGCCAGACTCCCTGGGCCAGAAACGAGGCTCATATGGGCATGTTTATTCGAAGCCTTCAGTTCGTGATTGGTCCGTGCTGCAATTGCATGAGCTCACGCATAATCTTCTCAGGATTTTCCTTCTCGAGGATTCGCTGGCTTAGCATAGGCTTAAGGGCGATCATGGCTGCTGCGGGCAGCGGTTTCGATGCGCGAAGCTTCGAATGGATGGCACAGCTGCCGACCTTGTGGGAGAGTGTTCGTGCTTTTCGCGAACGCAGCCTTCGTGGTATGAACCTGCTTCGGGGGATTACTTTGAAAGGGCACGGTTCCAGCCCAGTGGTCGTGGGTAATATGGAATGCTGCAAGTTGAATTCTGATGTGCTAGCTTCAATCCTCAAGGTCATGGCCGATGAGGCTTGCATCTTTGTTCCGAAGGTGTACTTGTTACAGGGAGCCTGCTTGGAATTCCACTGTCATGCCGGCTATCCAGATGCCCTTTCCTTGGGTCATGCTGCTTATTCAGATGGCTGGGGTTTGAAGCGTCAGCTGAATTTCCTCAAGCGCAAGTGGATGCGCAAACAGACGCCTCGAGTGTCTCGATTGGAGCTTTAAAAGGTTTCTTTTGGAAGCTCAAGATTGACCGATGTATTTTTCAGGGGGCCAGAATTGTACATTCTTTGCATGTGTGCATCAGGACAGGGTCCTGCGCAAGCTCGTCGCCGAGTTTGAGCGGGCCTACAAGAAGTTGAAGCAGGTGGCTGGACCTTGCTTCATGCTTATATCGATCTGTGTTTCAGCATGACCTTAAATTGCCAATTGAGGTTGTTGGTGACCGCATCGCGAGAGCTCTCAGAGCTCGAGGGGATGATGACGATGATGACGTGGATCCCGAGCAAGATGTGGACTCGGATCGGCCCAGGGATGCTGAAGATCCGGATTTCCACGATAATAAGGCTGAGGCTTCTACCACTGAAGAGATTGAGCCAGGAACTATCTCGATTGGTGTAGAGTTGCCTGAAACGGCCCCGCCAAATCCGAGGCCAGAGGAAGCAGCTCCTGTGAACCGTGACCCCCCGCATCACGAGGAGGCAGCTCCTGTGAACCGTGACCCCCCGCATCAGGATGAGGCAGCTCCTTTGAGCCGTGACCCCCCGCATCAGGAGGAGGCAGCTCCTGTGCCGCCCGAGGTGCCCAGCAGGCAGTGCTTGGAGGAGCAATTGCGCATCATGGAGCTAAAGCTAGAGGCGAAGCGACTGCAGCTTGCTAGCACTTGTATTGTGGTTTACACTATTCTTCCGTTTCCTTTTCGAATGATATGCATGCATGCATGTATACTTCGTACATAAGGATGGACATCGAGCGCAAGCGTGCTGCCAAAGACTTTGCAAAGAAGCTTCCCAAAGGATCGCAATGTGTTTGTGACTGTCTGTGTGATAATATATCGAACAGTGTGGGTTCCATCTTCTCTGCCAGGACCAATCGTGCTGGATTCCGATGAGGAGGCTGAGGTTCCTGCTATATCGGTGCCTAGCAAGACTGGTGCCGATGAGGGTTCTATGAGATCAGGAGCAGTGGATCAGATGGAGACCCAGGCATTCGACTTGTCGACTCAGGTCGTAATGAATGCTCTGTCAGGGCTGGATCAGCCGGTTCCATCCCCGGCACGGACGTTTGCGGAGGAGAAGACACGGGAGCTTGGAGATGTTAGGTCGCCCGAGGCAGCTGCATCAGCACATGCCCCTGTGGAAACCCCGAGCCCCAGAGGGATCAAGCCTGTTGAGATCACACCTGTGAAAACCTATCCGTCACGTGATTCGCAGCTCATGGTGAAAAGCACAAAAGCAACCGAGAAGGCGGAAGCCAAGGAAGCTAAGGCTGGCAAAGCTGCCGGCCGAGGCCGAGGCAGGGGTGGCCGGGGAAAAGGAGGAGGACGGAAGAAGCCCCAACAGGCAGAGGAGGATCAGGAGGATCCCGAGGAGGCTCCCGAAGAGCCTGCAACGACAGGCCGTGGTGCGCGAAATCGTGGCCGAGGCAAGGGCCGGGGACGAGGTCGCGGGAAGAAGGTGCACCAGGCGGAGCATACGAGCGAGCATGCGGGCGAGCATCAGGGCGAGGATCAGGGCGAGGATCAGGGCGAGGATCAGGGCGAGGATGCCGGCGAGCCCGAAGAGGCTGCTGATGTTGCGCCCCCGAAAAAGCGCCGATGCAAGAAGGTCGTGGATGTGCCTACCACCAGGGTGACGGGCAAGCGGGGGTCAGAGGGCAGTGCCAAGCCCAAGAAGGCTGCGAAGAGGGCTTCGAATACTGAGGATGCTGAGTGGCCTCTCACGTTCGCTCGTCGCTACCGACCCAATTCCGAGAATTGGACCCAGCGGCTTTGGGAAGGATGTGTGTTGGCTTTCAAGTCTGTGCTCCTTCCGCACATTGTTGTGGGGCAAGCCTCGGCTCTTCAGGCCGGATTGTCTTTTGGGGTGCATGGCCAGGGTATGTAGTGTAAAAGCTAAGAAATGTCTACGATGCATGGGTTCTTAATCCTGACCGCTGCTATCCTGTGTGGTCTCGAACCTCTGTAACAAAGCTACCCCATTCTCCGAATCCTAAATGCATCCTTTTGAAAACCCCGCAGTAGCAGCATGCAGATACTAAACCACATTCAGATTCGAAGCTTCGTGTGATCATGTAGGCTAAACAAACGTCTTGGCTAGGTAGATAAGGTAGTATATAGGATAAACCGATATACCCAATCAACTCAAATTCAGAAATCCCTGCTCAGTCCGACTTCTATGACTTCGCAAAGCAGCATGCCCAGCAGTCCGACGATGATTTGTCTTCGAAGGTTTCCATGTACAAATGCTGCACTATGGCAGCGACTCGCTTTCTTGATACGATGGACCAGGCCTGAGCTGGACTGCCTATACCTGTATGAATTCTTGATCTATGCTCCTATGCCAGCATCTATAGCTCTATATATCTAAATTAAATTATACGTTCTAAAGAAGTTGTCTATGCTGGGTTCATGCAGCTCCAGCCAGCCGCCAGCATCCACAGTGGATGATCGTGAAACGGAGCCGGTTGGGGCATTTGCCTTCTGGCCGAATGATTTCGCTACCGAGGAATGAGCTAAAGGCTCATGCAGTGGGGTGGGGTGCTTCCTCCCAGCGGTACATACTGTCAGAGAGCAAGCTGGCTTCTCTCACGATGCGCTAATTCTCACGTGCAGGCTGTGTTGTCTCCGTTGCGAGGCTCGATCACGGCTACTCTTGTGTGCTGAAAAAACCGAAGCCTTCTGTGTGTGCATGCGCCTGTGTGTGCATGACATGTCTGCTTTAGCCTGACAAGGGTTCGATCTATATACGGTCTAATCATGCACTCCGTGTGGCCAGGTTCGAAATGCTCTTCGGCAAAAAGGCCCTCGGATCCGCTTGGTCTGCGCAGCTGCTGCAGGGCCGAAGTCGAGTCTGCCTAGCCAAGTTGTTGCTGATTTTGCACTTTCTGCTTAGTTCATGCTTCGGTCGCTTGCTTGACCCTCTGACAGTTCCTGCAGTCTCAGCCATGAAACATAGTGTGGAACTTTTCGTGGCAGGTGCCCGCAGACATACACATGGGCACACGCACACACATATGTGCTTTCGGATGTCTAGTACGACAGTCTCACCTGTGATGTGCCATCTTGCATCCTTACTGCAATCGTGCATGGAGTTTTAATTGCCTGTTGCTGCAAAACCGTCGGTGGAGCCTCTGCTCCCATGCCGAAGCCCAAATTCGAAGATGTCGCCATCAGCCTGATTCGCCTTGGATCCCCCAAGGTGCTTGGGCAGGAAAATTCAGTTTCCAGGAGGGTTTGTAAAGTTTTACCTAGTGGGATCCTATATAATGTCGTTGTATCCTGGTTGTGGTTTTACGAATACTTTTGTGGCATTCAATCATGCAAAGGTTTCAGATTTCACTTTTGTTCGCCCGAGATTGATCCTTCAGCCCAAAAGAAGACTAAAAATCCGAGCAAGACCCGAGCAAGGTTTCATCGTGTACGATATTGCAGGCTTGAACGAACATACTAGTCGCAATCACAATGAAACCGTACAATCGTTTCTATTACTACACTCACAAAGCATTTGGAAGCTTGGGTCTCTGTGGCTCAGGTATTCGTCCTTTGCATCCTGTTGCTGCTTTGGAACACCTCCATCGACTATGCCAAGGACTTCAGGTATATTGTGGTATTCCGGGATGTTTGCTAGATAAGAGGGGTCTGTGGAGAAGGCTCGGGTTGATGGGCTCGAGGGGGCTTGGGGTGAGGGTCTTAGGTGCAAAGCGGGGATTTATATAGGTCACGATCATTTCTGGAGTCTCCAAGCAAGCTTTCGCTTTGTGGGTTTCGTGGGTTTAGGGTAAGGATAGGAGCCTTTGGTTGATCTAACTTATCTATTTTCGGTTGTTTGCCAGATCAAGGGGCCCTCTGAGGAAGCTTCGGCCTTCGGGTCAATGTGTTTTGGATATAACTTAAGGGGCCCTATAATATTATAGGTTTATGGGAGATTGAAGGCTCGGGGGGTTTGGGCATCTCTCTTGCAACAGAAGCACGTATACTCTTCCATTGAGAAAATATTCAATGCCAATATGATGTTGCAAACCCAAAGCCAGCTCTGACCAGCAAGCCTCAATCAGGAATTACCCCGCGACCTCCTCAATAAATCAGACGAATTCCAAGCAATCACCCCAGTAGCTGTGTGAGGAGGTGGACTTAGCCGAGCTGTTCTCTGGTTCGGCGACTCTTTCCAAAGAGTTCTACTATCAAGGCAAGGAGGTCGCAAGCTGTGATGTGAAGTATGGCCGGAACATGGACATTTGCCGATCTTCAGGCTTCGGGTTACTTGATATTCAATTGGACATGGTCTCATGTAGTTCGGTTCTAATGGTTGCTTTTTTACAAGATGTCGGAACCGAGGACGTTTTGTGCAGCAGTTCTGTGTGGTCGCCAGAATTCTTGTGTCTGGCTGGGAGTCCTTTGCAGCTCATGGGTGTCAATGGCCCGCCCAACAACCAAGAGATCCTTTGCCAATCCTGAAGGTTACACTGGCTACAAGAATGTAGTTTACTCCAACATCATGGCTGCAAGGCCGGGGTTGTTCAGGTTTGCTCGGTTGTGCTAGCTTGATGAGTGCATGTAGCTAAAAGAAACATATATAGATTCCGGGGCACCAGATGTCCAGGTCAGCACTTTTGTGCTTGCTGGCGGCAGCGCTGGGCCAGTGGTGGATTGTGGAGCAGCCTCGGACATCTCTGCTCTTGCAGAGCGAGCGCTTCTTGTGGCTTAAGAAGAAATTACAGGTGCCTTGGGTTTCATTGGGGGTTTGGAGGCTTAATTTAAGTCCGAAAACCCTAAACGTCTAAATGCTTGAAATATACCTTGTATGGTTTATAAACACCAGGGATAAAGTGCATGATGGAACTATAATAAATGTATATATGATCTTTATATATAATCTTTTTACACTTCATCCCTGGTGTCAAAAACCTAAATAATATTATTGATGTGGATGATCCTGTGCTTCTTGAAAATACGTCGTACATCCCGGAAAGCCAAAAGTCCCAAAAGCCTCAATCAAATCTTGCTCTTGTAAATCAAGCCTTACCAACCCTACAAGGGCTGCTCTGGTGTCTCAACGGGTTTTCGGAGAATGGTTGTTTATTCGAAAACCCTATGAATCCCGGAAACCTGACAGTGCCAAAGTTTCTAATCGAAATCCTGAAAGATCTTGATCCCTATTAAACCTGAAGACCCTGAACTCTTGTAATAGTGTGAAAAGACTTAAATCCCAACTTCCCAAACCCTTGCTCTCGAAGCAACTGGGACTTTGTATACCGTCTTACTTCTGGGTTGTCTTCGTGTTCCAAATTAGCCCTGTGCTTCCTTCGACATTCTGTGTCGTCCGTAGCAGGATTCAGGCCAGCTTCAAGATGTGCTTTAGGTTGACAGGGGTTTCCGGGCTTTGTTGGGCAAAGGGTTTCGGATCCTGTTTGCAACGTGTATGCAGGGTCTCCTGAGGTTATATATATGTAATATATATATATATATATATATATATATATATATATTACATTTATATAACCTCAGGAGACCCTGCATACACGTTGCTATATATATATATATTAATATTAAATATATATATATATATATATATATATATTATATATTATATAATATTTATATAGGGTACCACAATACACATCTAAAATCATGAAATCATTTTTACATAAATACTATATATATACAATATTGACGTAGAGAATACTATCGACGGAAGTATGATGTAACCTTGCACTATAATTAATATGTGGGGTCTCGAGATTGTATGTCTTCGAAATGCCAGGAATTCTAGAAGCCGCCCAAAACCGTTGGAAATCTATGTAACTTAAATAAGCCCCGAAGCTAATTTTAAAAACTATACACCGCCGAACCCAGACCATAAGAACTATAATCCTCCGCCCCAGCTTTATATAACTTCTGCAGCCAAGGTTTATCAGCTGGATTTGTGGATGGCCGCATACGGGGCGAAGACGCCCAAGCGCACCAGCCTCTGGAGTAACTCACGGGTCATCAGTGGGTTTTTTACGAGCAGGAAGATTCAGAGGGCCGGGAGAGATTCTGGCTTCAAGACCACAAAGCGCTATGTGGGCCACAACGGCAAAAAACGCTTCCAGGGGAATAAGAACTTGACAAGCACCGGGATCCTTGGCTGTTTTGTGTAGATGTCGGCACAGGTGTCTCGATTGATCCGGTTTCGACAATAGTAACAACACTCTTCCTTAGCCGAGGATGTATACTCGGCAGTTCGCAAGCCGAGCCTTCGAGGTGATGCAGCTGGGGGAGAGTGCTCTTTCCAAGTCTGAGTACCCCCTACGAGAGAGTCGGCCGGGAGAAGCCATGGAATTGTTTCGAAATATGGATTATGATGATAGATGTGAGGATGCTGATCTAGTGACGGTTGTACACTATTTGAGGGGCTGTCGTTCCTTGGAGATTCCTGAGGATTGGCGGGCAGTTCTTCCTAAGAGATTGTAGTGATGCGACCGACTGCTGTGCACTCATACAAGCGATCGATGACAAAGTCTGCATTGCTCACACTCCTGTGCTAGAAGGATGCAATTCGTGGCATTGCTGGCATATGTGCTAAATTCTGCCATTGTGTCTCTAGCTGCATATCAGTTTAGTAGAGAGCCAACTTGTCGAAGATGGAGGATGGAATCCCTTGGGCCAGGGAGGTTCTTCGCCACCTTGAGGCCTACCCCGCTGAGGTGCAGCGAGATTTTGTGGTTGGGTCCCTGGAAAGTATTCGCAATGGCATGCAACATCTGCTGAGTGTGCTTCCCTTGTACTCCGAAGCTGCAATTTCATCGGCATCATTGCTGGCTGCAGTGCTCACTACAGTTCGCTTTCGTGTTGAGGAGGGTGTGGGGAATGATGCAACGGAACTCGAGTTGATTCCGATGGGGCTCCCTTCCTATCCCGAGGAACGGTATCAATCTATGGTGGCTAGAATCGAGCTTCGTGATCCTCGCATGATCAAACGGGAGCTGACCCAAGCGCTCAAGGCTTGGGACGAATGCAGCACAATTATTTGGTGCCCGGCAATTAGCCTCTGCCATTGGCACATGTCACTGCTGGTGATTGCAATGAAAGATGCTTTAGCTATCGCAGACCTACTGCTATGATGCATATTATGATAGGCTCCGATTAGCAGTGCTTCGCCGGGACGGGTGAAATTTACTGCATTCAGAAAAAGCAAAACCTGCGGCCCCACTTGCTGTGCGATCTAAGGTCGAGCTTTGGGCTTTTGAGGGCTTTTGTGGGCTTTGTAGGAGGGTCGGGCCCGAGTTTTGTCCAGGTTCCGTGGCATTATGGTGGTCGTGGTCTTCTTTCTGCTACGTTTCAATAACTTTTGGGTTTTCAGAGCATAAAACCAGCCAAAAGACCATAAATCTATTCAACTGCTCGGTTGTCTATTTAGACCCCAAAACCCGTAAAAGACCATATTTATCGTAGACAGGTAGCCCCAGGAGGACGAAAAGACCATAAATTTCAGGACAGGCCGCCGGCAGGACCCTAAAAGACCATAATTTAGCGAAGCAAACCGTAGGCCAGGACAGGGAAAAGACCATAAATTACCGTAATTCCAGCCAAAGCCCCGAAAGGCCATAAAAAAACAGCCCAAAAGACCATAATTTTCCAGAAAGCCCACGCGCTAAGGGACATAAATAAGCGTAGAAAAAGCGTAAAAAAACCGTAGAAAGGCCATAAAAAAGCGTAAAAAAAACCGTAATCCTGCACCAAGCAGCAGCACCCACGAAGCCACCGAAGGAAGCAATCAGCACCGGAGACTGGGCCCAAGTGCAGGGGGATGTGCGAGGCACGAACCCTTTTGAGTAAGGCTTGGTCTGGGGGCTCTTTAGCAGCTGCCTCTCGGAACATGTTCCACGCCTTTATCAAGCAAGAACAGAGCCTTCCTGACGATGAGCATCAGCTCCGACTTCGAGTGGAGGACAGCATCGGTCGATGAAGTATATGCACATGCACACAATCCTCGCTTCGTCCCGCATAACCATACCATGCATGTGTCATTGCTGCTGTGTAGGAACTGCGAAAGCAGCTTGGTATGAGTGCTGCGAACAAGCCGATCAAGTCGGTGCCCGGCCTAAACATGAGATTCTGCATTTCTCTAACTTCTGGCTCCTGCTGTGACCACATAAGGAGCCTTGCCCAGCAGACACGTTGCAGGATACACAGGTGGAGGCCTGTCTATATCTATCTGACCCGAGAATGTGCAATACTACTTCGAATATATATTCTCTCTCTCTCTCTCTCTCTCTCTCTCTCTCTCTCTCTCTCTCTCTCTCTCTCTCTCTCTCTCTCCTACAGTCATCAAATCTCATTGGACAGGCCACGGGGAATTCTTCTACCGAGGCTACCGTGTGTTCCTCAGCTACGGCTCCCCCTAAGTATAAGAACCCGAAAACCTTTTAGTGCATGTGCCCGCACAGCTGAAGACCATAGGGACTATATGGGCTTCATTGTTCATTAAAATCGATTATAAAACGCATTGTATACAATGCATTTTATAATCGATCTTAATAAGCAATGAAGCCCATATAACCGATTCCGAGGCCCCGGAAAGCTCCTCGATCCAGAAGGAGCCCCAAGCGAACGACAGCCAGGATAGCTTGCAGCTGAGTTTGTGTTGGCTGGTGCTGCTTTATGCCTCTTCGTGCAGGTCCCGCCATCCCCAGCAACCCATGCTATCGCGAGCCCCTCAATTTTTATGTGTGCATCCCCTGTGATTCGCTGTAGTTAGAACTCCGATCCCTCCCCCCCCCAAACAACTCTCTCCCTAAGGTTCCTGTGTCTTCGCCACAAGCCGCCGAGTCGCCAACGGCAGCTGCCGAGAACAAGAATGGTCCAGAGGCTTGATCCTTAGATTTGTGCATCGGTCTATGACACCACCCCGGTTAGCAGCCGAAGATATCGTATAGTAATCATCCAGAGATTGTGATGCCTCTCTCTGTTGCATGATTTTTCTCCGTGTCTCTGCAGGCTGGGAAGGCTTCCATGGCTGAAGCTGTTGTCTGGCCCTCAATATCAGTCTGAAGATCTGTGTGAGTATACCGAGTTCCAAGACAACATGCAGAACTCCCGAAGCCCACAACCCGAAAACTGAGCGCACGGAAGCCCACTCATGTTCCAAAAGGGTTTCCGGGTTTCGGGCTTGGGGTTATAAAGGTTTAAGATTTATACATCGGTTTAAGTTTTAGGGTTTTCGGGATAAGGGTTTCGGGTTAAGGGTCGTGTGTTTAAGGTTTATATATAAGTTTATTTAGGGCTTTCGGGTTTCGAGTGTGGGGTTATAGCTATATAGGGTTTACAATTAACAATTCCCGCCCAGGCTCCTACGATCCAGGAGAAGCCCCAAGTGAACGACAGCCAGGACCCTCATGCCGACTCTCCCTCTCTCCTCTTCTGCCCTTCTCTCCACCCCCTCTCTCTCTCTCTCTCTCTCTCTCTCTCTCTCTCTCTCTCTCTCTCTCTCTCTCTCTATCTCTCTCTCACCCTTTCTCCCTCTCTTCCTCCCTCCCTCCCTCTTTCGAAGGGGTAGGAGCATATTCCAGTAGCACCCTTCTCTCTCTCTCTCTCTCTCTCTCTCTCTGTCTGTCTCTCTTTCTCTCTCTCCCACTCTCTCCCTCTGTCTTTGTCCCTGTGTGTGCAGCAGGTCCCCGCATCTGCCAAGCCGCTCCAGGTGCAATCCCAGGCGACCGGGATCTTGGGTCTTCCATAGTTAAGAGCTTCCCTACATTGTAGCTGGACTCTAGTGCAGAGTTCCTGACTTCGGCTAGATTGGCAGCATGATTTGTTAATGGGGGTAGAGGCCGTCTGGCTCTGCATGAATCGCTATTGAGTATTCATCATAGTACTCTAGTATATATATATATATATATATGCTATCTAGAAGCCTATATAGCGGCTTGTCTGTTTTGCTCGTCACGACCAGAAGACAGAAGAACGTCTCCACAACCAAAACGAACCCTAGAATTGTAAGTGCGACTCTTGACTTCAATTGTGGCCCTGCAGTATAGATCTTAAGGCCCGCCCAACAATATTATAGAGTCCGAAAAGAGCTCACTACACTTTCGGAATTTATTTATTATAATGAAACCGAAGAAAGACCCATATCTCGCAGAGGCTGCCGTGCCACCAGAGCTGATGTATGCGCCGAGCACGCCGAGCTCTCGAAAACCTGAGCAGATCCAGGCCAAGGGGTGGCTACTTATGACAGGCATTGTCGTTGTCGACCCCGTTTGCAGGAGTTACCTGGTGGGGGTCGTGTCGAAGACATGCCAGCCCCCCAAACGGCTCAATTCTCAGTTCAATGATTTCTTTGGAAAGTATTCTAAAGCTCTGCTGAGTAGCTTCTTAAGGCCCGGGAGAAGCAACTCTATGAGATCATTGCGCATTTGCAGCGAACCCAGCCGGGAACACCAAGCATATTTGCCCCGGAGTCTGTTTGCAGCAGTGCATCGTGGCGGCATAAAACCCGAAAGCCCTGAATCCAATTCCTGCTTCACCATCACAAAGCCTACAGTGTCAAGGTTGCCAAAGCCCACCCTGTCCGAAAGAATTCCGTGACCTCCGCTACAAGCCAGCTGACCTCGACGACCGATGCCGAGCCCGGCAAGGACGATGTGAAAGCTGCCCGCCCATCCTTGGAAGCTGCGATACCCGAAGGTTCCGAGGCTCCTACTCCGGCGGGCGAGATGGATTTGGAGGAAGAAGAGGATGAGTCGCCGGAGTACCGGCGGCTCTATGCCAGGATGGAGGCCAAGATCCGCCGAATGTGTACTCCGAGCAATGTGTCGGGACGCACCACGGCGAGTCCAGATCTGATCCGAGATTGGAAAGAAAAGGGGTATAAACGTGTGCAGCTCGTGAAGCTGATGATGGAGGCCGCCGGAAACAAGGCTTGGCAGAGACAGGGAGAGAGAGATAGAGAGAGAGAGACGGAGAGAGGGAAAGAGAGAAAGAGAGAGAGAGGAAGAGACAGTGACAGGGAGAGGGAGAGAGAGAGAGAGAAGAAAGAATAAAAAGAGACCGTGAGAGAGAGAGAGAGAGAGAGAGCGAGTGAGTGAGTGAGTCAGAGTGTGTGAGAGAGAAGGAGAGAGAGAGTGTCAGAGGGTGTAGAAAAGAAACATGATGGACCCAGAAATGACAGGCCGAGTTTCAGCAGAAGGTGGAATCCTGGAGAAAGACGGAGATGTTCAGGAAGGTGAGAACCAAGGGTGGATGGTACAGCGAGGCAGACATGAAAAAGCCTGTCTCCGAAGGAGGCTTGGCTTTCAGTGTGTGTCCCGGAAGCAATCAAATCCTTGTACTACCTGCTACACTAGGAACCTTATTTAAGATCATCACTAAAAGCCCCTTGCCGAGGAAGAAGGTTCAGAAGGTGAAGGAGTTCTGCGAGAAGCACGGCTTCGTACGGTGCCACGATTGCAGCGGGTGCGATTAGTTTCTGTGGGCAAAGAACACAACGTGTGTGTGCTATATGTATGTAAGTAAACAAATGTGTCTGTGTGTGTGGATATGCACATGCATGTGTAGTATGTCATGCATGTATATGCGGTACACATACAAGATATATAGTGGGGCTACACATGTGTACTGCTGCTTGGGCGGCTGCCTTTCATGTAGCACAGTCGGCTTGCATAAAAAATCACAAGTTCGGGGATCAAGCTTCTATTGAAGATTTCGTTGCTCCCAGATCCCCGATAATCCTATATAACCTAGGAAGAACCAGTACGACGAGGATGAGACGGAGTACTGGGTGGACTTCAGAACTGAAGGTTCTCGTGGGACCAACGAGACTGACGGCTTGCTGGAGTCTCGGAGCGCGGACGTCACCGGGGCTGACGGCCTCATGAGTTCTGGGTTGGACGAAGCTCCAATGCCGGAGCTTCCTATGGGTGGGGCACATGCGCCAGGGATGCGGAATGAGAAGGAGCAGGACAGCTCCAATACACTGATCGAGAGGTTTATCTAGAGTCTTAAATAAATATATATAGATATATCTATCTTCTTATCCTACTTTTCTACAGGAGGCTGCTGGTGTCGCAAAGCTGATGGATGAGGCCCTGGGAACCCGCAAGAACCTGGACAAGCTTGTTCTCAAGACGAAGAAAGACAAAGGAGATGCATCGAATCCTCGTACTGCATTTGTGCAAACCAAGATTCAAGAAACCACCAGCTCAATCCCCAGCAGTGTGCAGCAGCTCAGGGACATCAGCGGCATGGAGGATTGCATCGCCAAACTTGGCTCGCTGTATGACGACTTGGCGGGGCTCCAGGCAGAGGTCAAGGTTAATGGTATGAGCCCGACGTTTCTTTACTGCACTGGGGACTTCTATCCTGTCTTCGGCACAACCAAAGTCTCCAAATGTTAATTGCTTTTCTTGGCTTTGCAAGGCTTCAACAGCAACTTGACGAGAAGTCCAAGGCCGTGAAGCGCCAGTGCATGTCTTAACTGATCAGAGATTCCCGCAGTTACTGTAGATGAAACCTAAAGTACGTGAGCTTGGAATATGCCCAGGTGTGTTCTGGCAGTGTCTTGCGAGCTCAAGAACAAATCGCCAGGCTCTAAGCTAGGGTTTGGTGGGGGTTTGTCGATATTGAGGGTTCATTCTCAGTTTCGGGATTTGCTTGTGTTCGAGATGATAGAACAGAGGATGCTTCAAAGTGTCTGCCTACTGTCTTCGGGGTTGGGGAGTTCCAATAGCCTAGACCCAAGTCTTTGGAAACCCTGTGATCCAACCACAGAATCCCAATTAGCCAAAATAGATCTTGCTTTGTCAGTATAGATAAAATTTAATACCCTGACTAAGCTTCCGATGTGCCGCCTTTCCGGATATCTTAGTTCCCAAAGGTTACAAAGCCATTAACCTATGCAACCATAATCCCAAACCCTCCAAAATCCTGATAACACGCCTTAGCCACGATATCTTTTAAACTGCCTGACAACAATTAAATGGTTCCCACTATCTGTATAGAACCTTTTGAGATTCCCCGTGTACACTGATAAATTATGGCCTACATGAGTCTTAATACAAATTCCAGATCACTCAACTGCAGTATCTCGAAGGTCTTAGGGGGAGAATGCTCTAGACAGGCGACACAATCCAAATGAAATTTCCTAATCATTCAAAGAGAGCCCTCGAAAGTCTTACTATATACAACCAATCCCAAACCTCAGGTGCCCTATCTTTGAAAAGCACGGATGATATCATGCAAGTATATAGATCCCGACAAACCCCGCTAGATAGATGATAATTCCCCAGAAATCCTAGACCATGCTAATGCCCAGGTCTCTGAAGAGGAAGGAGAGTTCCGCAGCGCTGGCGGGCGACGAGGGAAAGGCACCTAAGAAGCCCAAGCAGAAGGCCAAAGCCAAGGCTAAGTCGAAAGCTAAAGCCTGATGCTGATAGTTTTGCTCAGCCGATCGATGCAGATTGAGCTCATTTCAAGAGCAGTGTGAAGGGAATCACACTGGCAAGCCATTTCCAATGTGGCCACGTTCCCAAGAATCTGCGATTACTAGCTGCTGTGCCTGTCTGTGCGGCGAAAAAGTATAACACCTCTGTGCCATGCAGTTGATATCCGGAGCAACTAGATTTCAATTGCAGATGAGCTTGCTATTGCTCACGCCGATCACTAACGAACTCCATCATTTGTCCCGATCATGCCAGGTCTGCAGGTTCTGCAAGAGGCCAGCAACAAGGCCTGCGACTATGTCCGCAGCTATGGCAAAGGGGCTGGGGTCTTAGATTTGCTTTTCATGCATCGAGATCTGAAGTGAGGCTTCCTTATATGCGGTTGCTTCCATCAACAGATAAACAGTGATGGCCGCTGAGTCTCTAAAGCAGGATTCCAGAGCCTTCTCAAAGCCTTGAACGAACCTGAAAACCCAACCGATTTTGGCAATAAGACACATTCTACGACCCCGATGGATAAGTTCCAGCCCAAGGCCTCCATAATCCTGTTAACCCTTGTAATGCCCTTACCAAACATGATCCCGAGAACCCTCCCAAAGTTTGCTGCCCAGGTTCCGGCGAAGGACATAGTGGCACGTGCGGTGGCCTCCAGAAAAGATGGGGATTTCTTGTGCAATACAGCTGAGAAACTGTCTCGGGTACCCAAGGGTCACGAGGAAGATGGAGTTTTCAAATCTTTGAATAGCACTGGGATGTTGGTGAATATTCCGTATACTTACTTGGATCTTGGTGCTAGCCTGGAGCAACATCCAGCCTTCCGACCCAGAGATTTCCTATCTACTCTTTGTGACCTGGACAAATTCTCCACAGTGATTGGTATGCCTCTAGAGTCTGCAACTGTGCAATTGGAAGACTACTGGACCCACTTCTGCAATCAGTATCGTGAGCATCCGATTGTCAACGACATCAAAACTGGTGTGGTGGATCCCGGTCATCTAGTTCCCTTGAATGTGCACGGCGACGGGGGCCGGACTTACAAACGACAGGAATTGATGGTACTACAGTGGCAATCGGCCGTCGGTGCCGGCACATCGAAGAGCTCCAAGCGCCGAAAATTGGCTGATGAGATTGATGCCGTGCAAATTAATCTGAAAGGCCATAGCTTGTCGACAAGGTATCTTATCAGTGTCCTGCACAAGAAACATTATAGAGAAGATGCCACTCCCTTGTTGCAGCTCCTAGAATTTGTTTCCGAATGGTTTGGGGACTTGTACGAGATTCTTGGATTTCTTCAGAACCAGCTTCGTAGATTGTTAAGATAGCAATACTTATTGTTCCCACCGAAGAATTTGGAAAGTCCCAACCCCAACTCAATCCTATAAGCCCCATGCAACCCTAAGAACCAATATAAGACTTAATTCTAATTTTACGATTACTAGAGCAAAAAAAATATTGTACAACAACAACCCAGGAATGGATTCGAGTACCAGGGCCAAACGTGGAGATTTATTCTGGTTGGGATGAAAGGTGACTTGGTGTTTCATGCGAAAGCAGCCGGATTGCTACGGTCCTTCACACGAGTTCGAAAAAGAGCTCCGAACTCAAACTCCAAAGACCTGCCGGGGTGCTGCCCCTGGTGCCTCGCCGGTACCCCTACGATTGCTTTCGAGTGTTTTGATAAAACTGCCCCTTGGATGGCAACCACGGGGACCAGGAATCCACTACCCTGGATTGAGAAGCCTACGATCTTGAAAGCAATCCTGCACAGCCCGGACGAGCCTTCCTTCCTGAAGCCGGATGTTTTTCACATTCTGAATATGGGGATCTACAAAGAGTTTGCTGCGAGTGGCCTATGCATGCTTCTCCCTTTATTCGCTGGAAATAATCAGGATGAAAATATGAGCCGCATGAATGTGAAGCTGCGGCAGTATGTCAAGGAGCAGAATGCCAAGATTCACATCCCAAAGCTCACTTTGGAGCTGATCGGTGCGAAAACACCCAGCAGTTATGCATCTGGGGGGTGGAACAAAGGGTCAGATTCAGTGGTTTTAATGGGCTTTCTGGGTTGGCTAGTCGAGACTCTGCCAGTGTCTGAAACGGAGAAACCTTGGAAATACCTCCATCAAGGATGTACGTCTATCGCTTCTGCTGTGCGCACCCTTTATGCGGAAGGAGTTTTTATGCCGAAAGCTGCTGCAGCGCAATGTGCCGAGGATGGTTATATGTTTCTCTTCTGCTACAGCCACCTGGTAAATTTTTGCATGGCAAACAGACTACTCCTCTTTAACTTGGTGCCAAAATGCCACTACTGGCATCATGTGGTGGAAGAGCTTCGAGTTGCAGCTCTCGACAACAATTGTTCTCTGGTGCACAATCCAGCGACGAACTGTACTTCTATGTGCGAAGATTTCATAGGTCACATAGCACGTTTGAGTCGACGTGTGAGCCCGAGGACGGTTCATAGTCGTGTCTTGAGACGGTACCAGGCAGCTGTGGCTCAGCATATGGGGCTCCTAAAGTGAGGTGCGGGAACTTAGCAGAGCAATTCTAATTGTACTTACGATTCTTGGACCTGATTATAAAGTGTTTTTATGCTTTTATGAGCTCCCATCGGCCCAGCCTGCTCGCCGGCCGGCACAGCAGAAGGTGGCAGATCCAGGCAAAACATCCGGCTGAGGAGGGGCTAAACTCGGGTTTTGTTTGGGCGTTCTTGGGGCTTCAGGGGGCAGGGTCTTCATTCGGGTTTCTCTGCAGTCTGAAACTCCCTAGCAGTGCATTGCAATTAACAATCACGACTTTGTGCCTTGAACCGCCTGCGCCAGGACCCTCCCATCGAATAAATATCAGGACACATCGGTTTAGGACACCGGTTTAAAACAGTAGCATGAAAAACCCCTAAAACCCAAAAGAGCGTAAAAAACCCAACCAAACCGTAAAGAGCGTAAAAAACCGTAAAAAACGAAAGGGGCGTATATTTACCACCCCAGGTGTTCCAGGTAGCAATAATGTGGTCTTGCCATGGGCCCCTGCGCCCGCTCCTCCGCTGCCTGAGTCCCTATGTACTCTTCCGCTCGAGGCGGGTGACAGCCGAGCCAGCTCAGCACAATGGCTCGGAGTTCAGATCTTCACACCGCATTTTCGGCCTGTTTACATTGGGGTTCGGGTTCATAGGGAGGACGGGCTCCATGGTGCGCTCCACGCTGTTCGTGAATCTGCGCCAGGAGTCCCCCCTAGGCTTTACGAGAGGGTCGTCCCCTTAGTCCCGCAACGGCACCCGGGTTACCTTAGCGTAATTAGATTCCCTGGGATTATCCGAGGACCTTCTGGCTTGGACGCCCTCGCCGTCGGCGTGGACCTGTCCCATGTGGGCGGCCTTTTCTTTGCTTGCACGTTGCCCCAAAAGCTTTCATATGAAGCCTTCATCGCCTTCGTCCAGCCCATGATCTGGTACGATGAAAGGGAGGTCTCCGTTCTAGTGGGAGCGGTGCAAGCCCCCTGGCCTCCAGGCGACGACCTTGACCTCTATGACGGAGCGGTCATTACGTTGGTTCGGGACCCCACGTCCTACATCTTCCGAGGCATGGCACGGGATCTCTTTCTTCCGACCACGGATTGGGGCGCCTTGCAACACATGCCCCGCCCAAGTGTGCCGGCTGGCATCTGTGTCCAATATAATGAGGAACGCTTCTTCGTTCAGCCCAGCCACCACTATGGCGCTACCGTTCTTGAGGCTGTAGCGCACCGGCTGCGCTTGGATGCGGCTCAGGTGACCACAGGCTTCTTCCCCACCTCGGATCTTTCCATGCAAGGACAGGACTGCTTTGGGATCATGGCAGTGGTCGACCTCCCCCACCCCACCCTGGACGCTCTCCAAGCAGCCAGGCGGGACGTCTTCACCCTTATCGACCCAAGGGCACTGGGAGTGAAACCTCACATTGAGCATTCGCATTTCCCAGCTCATCACCTGCCTAGCATTGCAGCGCGGCTTGACATTAGGGTCCCTACGGTTTATCGGGTTACGGCCGTAGGTGGTAGACTTTCGGGTGAAGACATATACGTGCAAGGTCATTCGACCCTCATTTTGTACGCAGTACCCCATCACTCCGACTCTGAGGAGGAGGGAGCTGCCGGCGATGGCCCTTCACCGCCACCTCGTGGTCCAGACAGAAACCGGGGTCGCTCTCCCCAGGTGGGCCGCCGATTCGGCGGGATGCCTGCTCGCGAATCGGAGGGCGCGGGGCAGGCTCCGCTGTCAGAGGCACAGGCTTCCGGATGTGGCAGTGGTCGGCGCCTCTGTGCCATTTCTGCACTGCCTGACCTCTGGGCGCAACTTTCGGATGAGATTAGACAGGCAAGCGAGGGTATTTTGCGCAGCACCTTCCTTGCAAGTTTCCAGCTGCGCACGGCTAGGGGCCCTGTGAACCCATCGACTCCTATGGGCCTAGCCATCGCCTCTTTGGTGTTCCGGAATGAGACGGCCCTACTTCCTGCACCATTTCATAGGCTCGGTGATGTGCCTCCGGGCACGCCCGGCCCTGCAGACCCTGCAACTGCAATCCCTGATGACGAGGAGGAGGAATCTGAGCCACGCCGTGTCCTCCACGCTACCTTCCTGCTGTTTGCGCCAGGTCATGCCTTTCAGACAGTTCCCTTTGCAGTTGAGCTTCCGTGCAATGTGCCACAAGTGCTTGATGCAGTGGCGCGTGCTGCAGATGCCGACTTCATTGGTCTTTACCCGCGTCTCTTGGAGATCTGCCCGCAACCGTTTCCGGATTTCGGAGTGTTATTGGCCTTACCCGCTTGGTCGCGCAGCGAACCAGTCGTCCTGCTGGATTTGAGTGCTGTCGATGGTCGATGTTTTGCGGCCTCCTTGCCGTCGCCCTTCACCCGTGCTCAGGCGCTCGAGGCCGCTAGACTCCCCTACGACCTGCCACTTGAGGTTTTCGCCTTCGGTTCTCCCCGACCTCTCCGAGAAGAGGAACCGTGTGAAGTGCAAGAAGCGGGTTCCATTTCCTTCCACCCGGAGGGAGCTGCTTGGGTAGTCCGTGGATCTTCCCTTCAAATCATGCTGTGGTCCGGTCGCGAATGGGCCAGGGTCCCTGATTTGGCCTCCCCGCCTGTGGGCAATAACGTTTGCCTTGTGTGCAACGAGGCATCACGCTTGTTTGTGCCCCCGGCCTTTCCTGATCCCGACCTGACACATGCCATTGCTGACGAAGTTGGTTCTGATCGGCATTTGCTCTCTGTGTCATTTGCGGAACCGCCCCTCATTGACGTGCTCTGCTCTGGCCACCTGTGCAGCCATGTGGCGGCGGCTATGCCCTTGGCCGCCACTGCTGATCCGGACACTACTTTTCTGATCGTTGATCGTCGGCCACTCCTGCTTGGATGGGATGCTTTTGAGGCCCCGGGCGGCCTCGTGTCGTGTCAGCAACTTCTCGATTGGCTGGATGTGTTCAGCCCACCCGGGTGGCATGCCTCTGTCGCACACTTGGACCGACGGGAAGCGACTTACGTGGTCCGGCCAGGAACAGTCGCGAGAGCCATCTATGTGCCGGATGGACTTAATGAGGAGTCGGAGGAATCTAGCGAAACTGAGGTCACTGATGAGGATCTACCAGTTTCGACTCAGGATGATGCTGCTACTCCTTGGCATACTGCTGCTGCGGGTGTACCCGACGCAGCGAACGATAGTCGTGCCCGCAGCCGATCGCCCCTTCGATCCCTACAATCAGGGCGACCGACTACTAGCTGTGCATATGCTGACTGTCATGCCCTTGCCGCTGACGGCTTGAGCATTGCCCCGCGAGCCCTGCAGATCTTGGTCGGCGCTTCCTGTGTGACACGTAGTCACGGACAAGGCACTCATGCCCTGCATGACCCCTTGACCTTCCACCCCGAACCGTGGATCGGGGCTGCATTTGATCCGGCACTCCTACTCACTGTGTTGGCCGGACTTGTCATTCTGGTGTGGCAATGGCATATAGCCGCAGCGTGGACGCTTGGTTTTCTTCACCGTGCCTTCCCTAATGGCAGCCTGGCGTATACGACTTGTGTTGATGGAAGCCAGCATCATGCCACCCATGTTTGCTTTGGGCGCATCGGCGCCTTCTTCCCTGGATTCCTGAGTCGTTCCTGTCGACTTTTGGTCGAGCCGCCGGTCTGTTCCATGCAGGAGCAGTCCCACTTTGACACTTTGCGCGACCTAGCCGACCAAATGGGTCTGCCCTGGCCGTTTCTCCGCTCTGTCTTGGTGCATGGCTACCCTGACGAGTCCGCGGATACGGCCCTTGACGCTTCGGCGGAGGAGCCAGTTGAGATGCACGTTGCAGTGCTGGTTCCTGACTTTCAAGCGGAACGGCTTTGCATCCGTGAAGTGCTTCCAGTCGAGCAAGACAGGTTTCTTGAGCTTGTCAGACGCCAACGTGACCCCGTTCAAGACGAGCGTTTCCCTGTGCTGATCCCGGCTATACCACAGCCTCTTCCGGCATGGGCCCTTTTTATAGCTGCACCGGTTTGGGCGCCCCAATCGCCCATCGCAATATTTGACATGTGGGCCGTTGACGGGCGCGTCTTTGCGCTTGAGGTGCCGCTTGTGGCCCCGTGTTGGTTCCTTCTGCAGTTGGCAAACGCCCCCCCGGGCCTTGACGTGAATGTGGTGATTGGCTTTGCAGCTGGACCAGTTCCACTAGACCGGGAGGTGCGGTTGCTGCAGGGACAGTGCGTGACATTCGTCCCTGCGGCTACCCTCCCGCCGCCTGTGAGTACCCTCGATACCATGCTCCTGTCCCCGCAGTTGTGGGAGGAGGGCCCGGCGTACCCTAGCAACACGCAAGGATGTTGCTATTGCGTCGCCACGGAGGGCAACCAGCAACTTTTTGTGCTTGATCCACGGCGCCCATGGGCGTTTCGGGAGGATATCGCTGACACATGTCGCATCCCGGCCGCCAGCTGTGTACTTGCTTTCGCTCGGCCTGGCGTTCTAGACTGCGCCATTCAGGGTGTTGATTGTCGTACAGCTGTTGCTGCAGCACGCGTGGCAGCCCATAATTCTGCAGAGTGCCTAGTCCTAGTTGACTGTCGCGCCATCCTACAAGGTTGGACGGTGTGGCGAGCAACAGATGGCCTTCTGGATGTGACGGCCCTGGAACAGGACCTCGGAGAATTCGCTCCCCTTTTCTGGAGGCTCACTCTCACAGGGCCCAGATTCGCGCGGGGCATTCGTCCAGTCCGACACGGGGAGGTCATTTCGGTCATTTATGTTCCAGATCAAGAGATAGCTGTTCTGCAGGACCCCCCTGCTCTTGCCTTCGATCAGCCGCAGGGTTCACTGCAGGATGCGCAGGATGAGGCCGCCGCGGACATGCCTTCATCGCATGACGAAGGTCCACAGGTGGAGCGTTCCAATACCGGCAATCCTGCCACTCATCGTCAACTGGCCTCTTCCTTCTCGGGCAGGCATGCTGCTGCTTCGGGCCGGCATCATTTTTCCAACCGCAAGATTCCCCTTGCGGGTGCGCCTCTATCGCCCCAGCTTGCTGCGGACACCAAAAGCACTGCCCTTGCATCAGCCCTCACAGGCCTCCAAATTGCAGCCGATCATTGGGACACGTGCCTCTTTGCTGCGCATGCTCACCTGTCGTCTCCGCAATCTGCTTCCTTGTGCGGCGTCAAGTTGGCGCCAGATCTGCGCCAGCCTCTGCATGATGCGGACTTACAAGTTTGGCCACAGCCGCGCACTGCTCATGGCACCGGCGACTCTCATGGCAGCAGCTGCCCAGCTGCAGCGACTGCGGTCCGACCGGATCACCCAGGGCCCCCTGACCCTGGAGATCGACCCCACCCACGTGGGCCGCCTGCAGCCTTGCAGGCTGCGGCTAATGTTAGGCAGGCCCCTGCGCGCACGAGACACACCTTTGTGATTCTTGTGCCAGATATGGCCCCTGAGATCGTTGAGGTGTCGTTGGCAATACCAGTTGGCATACAAGAGGTTATCGCGCTCGTTACGACGGCCCGAGGTGCCCAATACCAGTGCGACTTTCCTCACCTATGCCCGGTGTACCCGCAGCCGGATCCAACATATGGCGTCTTTGTTGCCCGACCGGCATGGGCAGCGGGTGTCTATGTCGTATGTGTCGACACAAGAGCTATCGACGATCGCCTCTTTGCCATGCCTTTCCCAGCTCAGCTCAACCGTGAGTCTCTCTTGCGTTTGGTGCACCTTCGGGATGTTCCCGGCCTTCAGATTTTCGTTGCAGGCGTCCCCTTCGGTCACGGACAGGTTCATTTAAGACATGGGGATACTGTACTAATCCGCTGGGGAGGGCGCCTTGAGCCCCCAGCGATTAGCCTAGCAGGCATGCTTAGCAGTCCTGAAGGCTGGCAACACGGGGCCGTTGTTGCACTCGGACCCCTAGACATGCACGTGCTTGTCCTGACCGATGGCATCCATCACCTCCAAACGGTTGATAGCTCCCACCGAGCCACCTTCAAGCAAGCCCTTGTCACGGCTCTGCAGTACTCGGCTCATCGCACCAGCCTCAAGCCCTCTTCCCCACGCATCACTGACTGTTGCTACCGAGGCTTTTCCTGTCATTCGGTCATTGTGGCTACGGAAGCCATTTGTCGCCTCCCAGTGCCTCCTGCCCGTCCTCGCCCGCCGCAACTAGCCATACTGCTGGATAAACGTCCAGTTCTCCGTGGCTTCACCTGGTTTGTCTGTGCTGGTGAGCATTACGACCTACAGGACCTCCGACGCACACTACAGCAAGAAGCCCCCTCGGGCTACGTTGTGGATGTCAGGGGAGGACACAGGTTTTTGTACAGAGGGCGCCCTCGCATTATGGCGCGCCAGGGACAGGTCATCCAGGTTCGCTTTGTGCAGGCTGACACCCCCCCTGATGGAAGCACCATGCGCGGCGACGATGCCGATGACTCTTCTCACGATCCAGATGACACCGACTCTGCCAGAGAGGAGCCGCCTTCTGATGAAGAGGATTCCTCCTCCACACCGAGGGCTCCTCGGAGTCGGTCACCCCCACCGGGTGCCCCGAGAGGGCCGCCTCCTCCACAGCCGGTTCACAGGAGGCTGTGCCCCAGGTTTCTCGAGGCCATTGTGGTAGGCAAGTGTTCTTCCGGTATTCACCAAGGAGCTTTTGCAGAAAGCGGCCGGATTTGCACCACTGCCCCCCTGGGCCTCGCCACATCTCGCAACGCACTCGCGGTGCTGCTGCTGTTCGCACTGAGTAGCTTGCAGGTTGCATTTTGGCAAGGATACGCTGTCTACAGCTTCGTTGGCTGTGCCATGCTGTACACTCCCAGGGCTTGTATGCCCAGGCGGGTCCTCTGCCTTTTGCTACTTCTCTTTTCCCAGGCTACTCCCGCTGGGGGTATGCTTGAGCAGGCCACAATTGCCGAGGCAGATGAGGTCCTTACCGCTGTTCCTGCGGCACGCCTTCCCCTGCCGCCGGGCTCTTGTCACCCTCCCCATCCTGGTCGGCCTGTGGTATCTACGTGCCCAGATTCCCATGCACACCGCGGTTCTTCGGTTTCAGTGCTGCGTGCCGGACATGATGGGAATCGCCATGCAGTCAGGCCGGTGGCCACGCCCTGTCGCCTTCGAGGCTCAGGTGGAACCGGAGAACATCTGCATACTGGGCCAGTCGAGCTGTCCTGTTCGGTCACGGTTCCTCTCTCGATACCTCAGGAGGACGACCTTTCATGGCACCTGTGCACTCTTCTCGAGGAGGCGGTCGCCAGTCCCTCCTGTGAGGCATTCTTTCTGGCCGCCACCTTGTTGGAAACACTTGCTGAACACCTTGCATCAGACCCCCCGGCTCCTGCAGCAACGGGGCGGGCGCCGCCGATTCAGCTTAGTTTGGCTGATGCAATCACACCGTACGAGTCAGCTCCTGCGATGCCCTCTCCTGGGCCCCCAGTACTGCGGTGCGAATATTTCGACCTGACGAGGGGTTGCTGCCAGTTGCCCATCAAGGAGGAGTTGTGGACGGATCTTGGGCGGTTAGTGCCCTGGGCATGCCTTGATGCCGATCTTGACGGCCTCCGCAATCCCGCGCGCTTCGCAGCATGGTGTTCCGACGGCAATCCAGGGGTCCTTCCTCGTGACACATACGCGTTGTGTTTCACGTCAGACGGCTCTTACTGTCCACATGAGGGCAGTGCCGGTTGGGGCCTTGTCGTTTCTGCTCTTACTCACGCCGGCGAGCCACCGCCCGGGGTATACATCGGGGCATGTTGTGGCGGTGTTGATGATATCTGGCAATTTGCGGCGAGCGAGGCAGGACCAGCTGATGCCTACGCAGCCGAGACAGTAGGTCTCCTATGGGCCGCCGTTGCCGCGTTCCAACTGCAGCCGCCCTGCGACATAGGCTTCCTCTGTGACAACATGGCTGCTCTGGGAGGCGCTTGCGGCCGCAACGCCTGTTCTGACCACGCAGTTTGGCGGGCCTGTCGTGGCCTTCATCTTGCACTTCATCTCCAGAGTAGTAGGCCCATCCCCTACACCCATGTTCGAGGTCATGAGGGTAACCCTGCCAATGAACTGGCTGATGCGATGGCTGATCGGGGACGACGCGGATATGGTGTGTCCCCCTTCACCATCAATGTCTCTGCATGGTTTGCGGACCAAGGGCAGGCTTTTCGATGGTTACCTCATGTTGCTTGGGCTCGTGTGCACCCTGAGCGCGCACCCCCTCTCGTTGATGGTGTAATGACTTGGCCGGCCACGGAATCGGCACCCACCATTGACGGGCAGAAGCTGCTCGCACCTTTTGTTCGCACGGCCGTGCCTCGCGGGCCCAAGCAGGCACATCCTCGATCGGCCATTTTGTGTACCTTTCTTACGTACAATGCTTTGTCCATTGCGGACCCGGCGGGAGCCAAGGATGGCGCCGGAGATGGCATGCATGGCCGCACAGGTCGAGTTACCCTCCTCGATCGATCGCTGCACCAACATCGTGTTTTCATCGCAGGTATCCAGGAAGCTCGTACTGCGGCGGGGGAGTTTCGGACCCTGCACTACCACCGCTACTCCTCTGGCTTCCTTGCTCATGGCATTTTTGGTATCGAGATTTGGATCGCTAGCTGTCCTCCGTGGCCACCTCACCAGGCGGCGGTGCTCTTCTCCACTCCTACCTACCTTGCGCTGAAACTATCCTTTGGCAATACGCACCTTTGTGTCTTAGCTGGCCATGGGCCACATAGGGGGCACACGGAGGCCGTCAAAGACGCGTGGTGGCGGGAGCTTGCTGACCAGTGTGCCAAATTCCGGGATCTTGCCCCTTGGGTTTTTCTCTTGGATGTCAATGGGCGCATGGGGTCCGTTGTTACGGCAGCCGTCGGGGACCATGAGGCAGATCCTGAAGACTGCGCGGGGGCGCACTTTCGTGAATTGCTCGGCCGACACCAAGCCTGGTGCCCTGCAACCTTTCGCGATTTTGCTATTGGCCCGGCGGGCACATTGAAACAAAAGCGCGCTGATCAATGGGATCGCTGCGATTTCGTCGCTATCCCCCAGCAGTGGCGGACCTCTACCCGGGCCAGTGAGGTCCTTCCGGGCATCAATGCTGGGCACGTCACTGTTGACCATTGCGCTGTTGGGGTCACCGTTTCTCTTGCCTTCCAGGTGGGCCGATCCCCTGGCCCAGGTCGAATCGACCCATGTGCTCTTGCAGACCCTGCTAACCGGGAACAGATTAGCGCTCTACTTCGCGAGGTCCCAGCCGTCTCCTGGGATACGAATGTCAATGAGCACGCTGCCATTGTTGTAGATGCAGTTTACGGCAAGCTGGTTAAGGCCTTCCCCCTTGCGAAAAGGCGCATGCGCCAGCCTTTATGCCAGTCCGGGGCTAACCGGGTCCTTTCCATTATGGAACCGGGTCCTAGGACTTAGTGTGTTCTTGTCCTAGGACTTATGATGTTGATGTGACATGGAATGTAGCAAGACATGTGTTCTTGTGGCTCAATGGAAGACATGCTGGACATGTGAAAACTTGTGTTCTTGCGGCTCAATGGAAAACAAGACCTGAAAACTTGGTCTCTTCCAAATGGAGATGCATACCTGAAAAACTGTGTTCTTGTCGCTCTATATGGAAGAAGCGAGATGCTGGACATGTATAAAAAGATGTGTGCTTGTGGCTCGATAGAAAAATCAATGCCTGAAACTTGGTTTGATCGAAATGTGAAACATATACATCGAAAAATCAAAGCCCTACTGATATAATTGCCTGTCCCAAGTTTTGTAGTTCACATGGAAATTAAAGTTGCCAAAAAAATGAAAATACGTTTATGCCGAACAAACCAAACAAATGTAACTTGGTGTTCTTGTGGCTCAACGGAAACAAAAAGCTTGAGATTTTGTGTTCTGAAACCCTAAAGTCAGCTGTTTGTACGATTCAGAACAACTTGAAAATTAGCATGTTCATGATTAAACATGAAGGGAATCTGAACTTTCGTAACGTCCAGCCCATGCCCTAAACCCTGAACCCTAAACTCTAAACCCACCCAACCCCCAAACCCGCCCACCCATTCAAGCCCAGAAGCTGCAGGTAGGAAGGGGCACACAGGTAGGTAGAGAGGTATAGTTAGGTAGGCAAGTAGGTATGGATAAGTAGATAGGCAGGAGGGAAGGTACTTGTAGGTGTAGGTGCGTCGGCAGGCTTCCAGGTCGGTAGGTAGGTAGATAGATAGCTAGGTAGGCGGGCATGTAGGTAAGGAGGCATTATGAGGAAAGAGGTTTAAAACCCCTAAACCCCTAACCCCTAAACCCTGAACCCTAAATCCAAAACCCGAAACCCTAAACTAACCTTCAACCCTAAAAGGTAGCAGGCAAAAGTAGTTGTAGGCATTCGTGCAGGCCCTGTCAGGATGTCAGGTGGCCACATCAAGGTCTTCGGAGCCCCGTACAGGGGCGTACCCGCGCCAAGGCCTGAATGGGCCGCGGGATGAACCCCGAATAGGGGTGAGCTTGGACCCCGAAGAGGGGTCGTCGGAGCCCCGTACAGGGGCGTACCCGCACCAAGGCCGAAAGGGCTGCGGGATGAACCCCGAAAAGGGGTGAGCCTGGACCCCGAACAGGGGTCGTGAGAACCCCGTGCAGGGGTGTGGATGAACCCCGAACAGGGGTGAGCTTGGACCCCGAACAGGGGTCGTTAGAGCCCCGCACAGGGGCGTACCGATGAACCCCGAAAAGGGGTGAGCCTGGACCCCGAACAGGGGTCGTGAGAACCCCATGCAGGGGTGTGGATGAACCGCGAACAGGGGTGAGGATGAACCCCGAGCAGGGGTGAGCCGGACCCTCAAAGACTGATGCAGAGAGAGAGAGAGGGAGAGAGAGAGAGACACAGCGAAAATAATTAACGAAGCAAGGAAGGAAGCAAGGAAGGAAGGAAGCAGGGAAGGAAGAAGGAATGATCAAGATGAGGGTGTGACTGTAGATGCGAGGAATGAGCAGGCAGCAAGGAGTGATGTGAGGGAGGCGGGAAGGGAAGGAAGAGAAGGAAAGTCATGCATGGCATCAGTATCCCTCTGCTCACTTTCAGTCTGTCGGCGGCCAGGCTGAGACAGTCTGCGCATCGAGATCCTCGAAGAGCCCCGGCCTAAGCCACACGGCCTTCCAAGACTTGACGGCTGCACCATGGGTTGCTTCCAAGCTCAACATGTTGAACTGCAGCAGCTTTTCAGCTCAAGATTCAACGCGATCGAACCGTTTTTGTCTGAGCGAGTGTACTCCGACTGAGGCGATTGTCCTCATGCAAACAAGGCAGTATTATTGACATGCGCATACACGCAGATCGTCAAAGACACGACTAGGAAAGAAGTGCCCCAGTTCGACGTACTGCCACGGAAGTGCAGCAATGGATCGAACGGATTTTGGCAGGCTTCATGGACCTGAAGGAAGTGACGATGACGATCGAACGACTCCTTATCATTCGGATGATAGCGATGGTTCCGCGGCCGATGCCACTACGGAAATGGAAAGAAACATGTTTACGAGAGAAGAATTCCAGCGAATCTGCACCGACCTGGTGCTGGGATGTGTCATGATGAACTTGTCAATGGGATGGCAAATGGAGCGGGCTTTTTTGAGCGATCGGCAACTACGAAGTTTGCTACAGCACTTCCAAACCAAGCACAACAGACGCGGATCCTCTGCAGGTGATATTGTGGAAGCAGGTTTACAGGAACGGATTCCAACAATGCAGAAAGTACGCATGGTTCGACAATGCGACGTACTCCAAGGAAAGTTGCGAATGGAAGTGAACCCGGTAGATGCAGAGAGATTGCGGGGCTTGGTTGAGCAGCCTCCCGGCTGGGATTGGGATTTGCCTGATCGAGGAACCATGGAAAGGCTTTGCGAGGGCATTCTGGCCAACTCGTTTGAGTTTGAACGGATTCCAGTGACGGATGCTAGACGGATGGCAGTTCAATACTGCGAGGTCATCCGTCCACTGTTCGCTGTGAGATTCCTGTCAATGGTGTTGCTGGGCATGCGGGACACGTACAGAGATCAGCTTTGGTTTCTGCTTCGCAGGCATGGAAGAGTCCTCAACGTATAGACGGACTGTACGTATACGCAGTCTCCGAAAAACTTAAAGGGACTGATGTACGGATACACAGTCTCACAATAAACCAGCAATGGCGAGAAAAAACGTGTCACTTGCTTAACAAATTGCTTGACGCGCCTTACTAAATTGCTGGACCTAAACCCTGAACTCGTCGACCTGAGGTCAAGCCTTCTTCATGCCAAATTCGCTGGCAAGATCGACATTGTGTTTGGAGGCTCGTCCGGCTGCTCATGTTTGCATAAACCCTAAACCCTAAACATCCGGCCGGTACCACTACAAGATTGCGCGCCCGGCACGCGTACGCCTGTGCGCCCGGAGCGCGTTCGCCTCAACTCCCGGCGCGCAGACCTGTGCACGTTGCAAACAGACTAAAGAATTGTATTATCACGTCCGGCACGCCCGGCGTGCACCCGCTGCGCGCCCGGCGCGCGCCCGCTGCACACCCGGCGCGCGCACCCTGGGTATATTTGGTTTTGGGTGGTAATACGACCGCCACATGTCATTCCTGCGCGCCCGTCGCAACCCGCTGCGCGCACATGTGTAAATTCTGTTGCAAGCATAATATTATGGAATAGTGTAAATATAGTATAGTACACGCTTACACTTCGCGCGTACGCCTGTACGTGCGGCACGCGCCCGCCCGCGCGCCCAGCGCGCGCGCCCGGCGCGCGCGCCCGGCGCCCGGCGCGCGCGCCGGGCGCGCGCCGGGCGCGCGCGCCGGCCGCGCCGGGCGCGTGCGCCGCCCGTCGCGCGCCGGGCGCGCGCGCCCGCGCGCAACCGTGCAAGCAGATATTATGGAATAGGCAAATATATAACGCAACACTTGTCGTAACCCTGTGTGCACGGCGCGCGCCGGAAAGCGTGCCGGGCGCGCGACGCGCGCGCGCGCCCGGCCCGCCCGGCGCGCGCGCCGGCCCGCACCCGGCGCGCGCCCGGCGCGCGCCCCGAGAGCATGCCTGGTGCACACCGTTGCAAGCAGAATATTAAGGAATAGTGCAAATATACTACACGCGTAGACTTGGCACGTATACACCTGCGCGCCGTGCGCGCGCCCGGCGCGCGCAGGCGCGCGCCAGGCGCGCGCACTCGGCGCGCGCCGTCGCAAGCATTATTATTATGATTATTATGCTATTGAATGAATTGAATGTTCATTTCAATGAAGCATTCAACTCACATGTACAGCTGCCCTCCCGACGAAAAGAAATACTCGGTATTTATGGTTTTGCGTCAGTTTACCGCCCGCCACGCGTACTCCTGCGCGCCCGTCGCGCGTATGCCTGCAGGACCCGCTGCGCACACATCCGTAAAATGTCGCAAGCAGAATAATATTATCGAATTTGTAAATATACTTGCACGGCCGGCGTGCGCATGCGTAACGCAAGCAGAATAATATCCAACAGTGTAGTAACTTTACTAGGATTATTAACGAAATTCAGTGAGACCAATAAGTCTGACATGTGCGCCCGGCGAGTGCACCTACACCCTGTGGCGCAGACACAGGTTCAAGGCATCAACTGCAGAGCTTACCTACATAGTAGATGAAAGCCATGAAAGCCATGAAAGCCATGAAGGCCATGAAGGCCAAGAAGGCCGCCAAGCAGGATGGCAACACGAGGGCAATGAAAGCCATGAAAGCAATGAAGGCGGCCAAGGTCCAACACAACGACGGCAATGTGAGGGCAATGAAAGCGATGAAAGCGATGAAAGCGATGAAAGCAAAGAAGGGCAAGCAGCGATCGGGTCAAAGTGGTCAAAGTGGCTGGTAAGCATGGCGAAAAAAGAAGGGTTCTGCTGAGAAGCAAGCTGTACTACATGCGCAGGCACCTGAAGGCGAAGAGGACAACACGGACAACACGGACAACACGGACAGCGAGCAGGAGCTGCCCGGCAACGAGAAAGCCACGCAAACACCTCCGATTATCAGACGTTTGCGAAGAGCACGTGACATTGAGGATCGCTTGAATTGCTTTGTGTCGGCATGCAAATACTTTCGTGTCGACATAGGCATGCTGGTCAGTATGGTTATTGTGATCACGACAGGACCTGCGACTGGAAGGATATGATTCCTGGCCCAGCAACCGTACCCGGGCTATCATTGGGAAGACTTTATTCTGCTCGTGGGCCGTTTTCTCAGAAATTATCGCTGCTGCGGACCAACGGTCTGATTCGAGGTCGCGCGGTGATGGATTTAGGAAGCAACGAAGCATTAGACCTGGGCGGCTGCCTGATC